GTTCTACCAGCTCAGTATTAAGTAGATACAGCACAATTATTTCTATTTCAAGTACATCTTCTTCATTCAGTTGTAGTATATCTAGATTAATTTCAAGTTGTTCCTTGACAAGTATCTCGAGTTCTGGCAGCCTCGTTTCTAGCAGCTCGGCAACAACGAGTTCGACATTAGGCAGATCTGTTTCAAGTGGATCTAGTATAACGAGCTCAATTTCAAGTTATTTAATCGCAAGTATCACTGGTTCTAGCAGCTCAATATCGAGAACTTTAAGCACAAGTTTATTAAGTTCTCCTATCTCAGGCACAATTCCCTCTCTATCGAGTTCGTTTACTTCAATCAGTTCCAGCATGACTAGCTTAATTTCTAGTAGTTGCCTAACAAGCAGCTCATTTTCAAGCAGCTCAATGTGGAGTATATACACAACAATAACATCTTTCTCGAGTACATCTCTTTATGAAAGTTCAAGCAAAACTAGCACAATTTCAGGTTGTTCTGTCATAAGCAGCTTATGTTCCCGTTGGTCACTATCGAGCTGGCCTACAACAATGAGTAGTAGTCATGCAATACAAACTTCCTCGATTTCCATCATAAGCAACTCAAGTTCATTATATTCAATCACAAGTAGTTTAATTTCAAGCAGCATGGTATCAAGTAGAGCAAGACCAAGCATATTCAGTTCAACCAGCTCAGTATCGAGTGGATACAGCACTTTTTGTTCTATTTCAAGCACTTCTTCTTCAGTAAGTTTCAGTACAAGCAGCATAATTCCAAGTTGTTCCCTATCTAGTATCTCCAGTTCTAGAAGTTTAGCTTCCAGCATCCCTGCAACAAGTATCTCTTCATTTGGCACATCTAGTCTAGGTAGTTCCAGCTTAAAAGTAGTTCAAGTCCAAGCCGATCAAGTTCAAGTACCCCAAACACCGTTTATTCAAGTATTTCAAGTTCAAGTAACTGGAATTCTAACAGCTCCAAACACCTAAGTAAGTCAATCAATTTAACACCTCGGTATGCAATGACTTCACTTTTCAGTGATTACAGTGATTGCAATAATTGCGGTGACCATAGCATGCTTGCATACTATGGTCCAGCAGCCCGTATTTCTTGCACTTCTCACACTCTAAAACATCCTGATATTGACTACGACTCCCTACTATTTTCTTACCAGTTTTTTTTATTGTATTATTAAAATTTGTAATTGTACATATATATATATATATATATATATATATATATATATATATATATATATATATATATATATATATATATATATAATATATATATATATATATATATATATATATATATATATATATATATATATATATATATATATATATATATATATATATATATATATATATATATATATATATATATATATATATTTATATATGGCACATGCCAGTGCCATGTTTTATGCTTCCTGGAGCGTCAGGGACTTTCGTCATGAAGTTATTAAATTATGTTACTGCTTACAGGCGGGTTGCTTTGGGAATTTGAGGCAAGTTTCCAGCATACGGTGTTTTGATTCTATTAGATTTTCGGACGAAATGAAGTTAAGGAAGGTGTCATCCATGTGTTTGGGCTGTAGGTGGATGGTGTCCCGGGGTTGGCACCGGGACCTAGAGACTAATCTGAGTTTGTGTTGTAGTAGTGAGGATTACCATCACTGCTGGGATCAGAATTTGTGGGAGATCAGAACATACCTGTGGTATATACCTCGCTGGGAGGTGTTTATTTTCCTCGTTTGCCTGAGAGGAACCTGGGTGTCCCATACGACACCCAGCCTTGCACCTGTTGCGTTTAAACTCAACTACTCTGTCTTTCACATTCTGTGTCTAATCAGGCCTTAAAGTTGAGTGGCTTCCACAACTTCTTGAGCATTCCATTTTTTAACTACCCGTATAGGGTCCGAGTACTTTGGTTCATTTGCGCTGCCAGCTTTTACCTGTGTCCTTTTGTCCAGCTTTATCTCAGTCTGAAGATGCTATCCTTGTCCACCTGATCTATTCCCGTTAGTATCTTGTAAGTTGTGATTATATTCCTTCTGTTCCTTCTTCCCTCTAGAGTTGTGAGATCTAGTTCCATTAGCCTGTGTTCATAACTTAGTCCTCTTAGCTCTGGCCACAATTTTGTATACTTTTTCACTTATTTCAATTTTTGGCTTTTATGTTCCACAAGGTGCGGATTCCGTACCGGTGATGCGTGTTCTAATAACAAGAATAAAGAAGCAAAGAAGTATAAATAAAGAATAAAGAAGTCCTGATTCATGTTTCTAAACGAAATTTTTATATTGCCAGTGTCCCCATATGCTGCCGATGTTATCCTGTTTATGTGTGCCTCCGGTGCGAGTGTCGGAATTATGTCCACTTCCAGATCCTTCTTTCTTTCCTATTCCTGTAGCTGCCTTCCTTGTATGTTGTAGCTGCCTTCCCCGTATGTTGTAGCTGCCTTCCTTGTATGTTGTAGCTGCCTTCCCCGTATGTTGTAGCTGCCTTCCGGTCTCTCCCTCTCCCAACTTCATTACCTTACACTTGTTGGAGTTGATTTCCAGCAACTATGTGGCTGACCACTTCTGGAGTCTGTCAAGGTTCTCCTGTAACTTTCTGCAATCCTCCTCTGTTTTCACGTTCCTTGTCAGCTTTGCATCATCTGCATACATTGACATGCCTGAGCTCATTTACTCGGGTAAGTCGGTCACAATAATTAATAACAGCAGCGGTCCCAGGGCAGAGCCTTTTGGGACCCCACTTGTTACATTCCTCCAGCGTGAAACCGCCTCTCTGAATGTGACTCTTTGCTTTCTGTCCTTCAGACACTCCCTTGTCCAGTTCAGTGTTTTTTCTCGTTATCCCAGCCTGGTTTTCGATCTTGTAAAACTGTCTTTCGTGGGAAACAGTGTCAAATGCCTTTTGACAGTCGAGAAAAATATGAAGTATTTGTCTAATAAGGAAGTTATTGAGAAGGAACTGTGATGTGTGTATTCACCTAGTTGTACTCACCTATTTGTGCTTACGGGAGTTGAGCTCTGGCTCTTTGGTCCCGCCTCTCAACTGATGTGCAGGTTTCTGAGCCTATCGGGTTCTATCATATCTACACTTGAAACTGTGTAAGGAGTTTGCTTCCACTACATCACTTCCTAAAGCATTCCATTGTCAACTACTTTGTCACTAAACAAATTCTTTTTAATATTTCTTTGGCTCATTTGGGTACTCAAATTCCACGCGTGTTCCCTAGTGTGTGTATGTGTGTGGTTGGGGTTGGAGGATTACGGATAGTAACTATATATATGTAAATCATTTTCTTGCTATGGTTTTAATTCAGAAAAAAATCGTCTGTGAAGGGTACTATTCTAAAAGGTCTCAGATATATACCATTAAATGCAGTTTTAATTTGCAATTGAGTAATGATTCTGAAAGGTGAGGCACTTGGCTCCCCGGGAGGTATTTAAAATCTAATGGGAAAGATTTTACCGTAGGGAGGAAATTAAGTCAGACATTGGAGGAACTCCAAGCTTGGAAAGAATATTCTCTGAGGGACACCTGGGACCTCAAGGTGAGGTATGTGACTTAGGATCCTGAAAACCGCTGTAATAGTGTGAATATGTCCATCAATTTATTCAGGTTTCCTTAGACTTATTTTGAATCCATTATTTAATCACTTAATAATTATATATATATACAAATTTTGTGTTAAAACAGGATGCTGGGAACATTAAAAAATGTTGCAGAGTCAAAGTTTTTTTGACTATAGAAAGAGAATGTCTTCCACATACCTAACCCCTATTGACGTTGAAAACTGTAAATTTGGTGAAGTGACCTATTTTCTAAAAAATATTATTACATTATTTGCCAAAACTGGTGAAACAGACGTCTATATTGGCATTCCAAAGTATCTTTGTAAAATTTTACCATTGATACTACAAGATTTCTTTTAATACATAATTAATGAAAGCGCCCTAATTAACAAGAAACAATTATCAGTTGAATTTTAGCTCTCAAGAAATGAAATATATCATTTAGATTTTTTTTCATTTAGATTTATTTTTTTACATGTCATCTTGTTAAACAGAAAATGTCAATTGTAGTACCTTAAATTTATAGTTATATAAATTTAAACGATGGGTTGTTCAGAGCATAATTTATTTTAGATTTATTTCACTTGAATAGAGCAGAGTAGAGCAGCTAATTACATGAATAAATTATTTAATGTTCGGTTACTTCCAAATTGATGACGCTTCCCAGTCTGTCACCTGAATTGCTGACAAAATTAATATATTAACCTTCGTTCAAATTCAACATATTTTTAATGAGTTTTCTGAATTTTTAGGTTCTAGCTGGTCCAGCTTCAGCACTTCCAAATCAAGTAGTTCCAGCTTCAGTTCTTCAAGCTACAGTAGTTCAAGCTACAGTAGTTTAAGCTACAGTAGTTCAAGCTATAGTTCTTCAAGCTACAGTAGTTCAAGCTACAGTAGTTCAAGCTACAGTAGTTTAAGCTACAGTAGTTCAAGCTATAGTTCTTCAAGCTACAGTAGTTCAAGCTACAGTAGTTCAAGCTACAGTAGTTTAAGCTACAGTAGTTCAAGCTATAGTTGTTCAAGCTACAGTAGTTCAAGCTATGGTAGTTTAAGCTACAGTAGTTCAAGCTATAGTTCTTCAAGCTACAGTAGTTCAAGCTACAGTAGTTCAAGCTACAGTAGTTTAAGCTACAGTAGTTCAAGCTACAGTAGTTTAAGCTACAGTAGTTCAAGCTATAGTTGTTCAAGCTACAGTAGTTCAAGCTACGGTAGTTTAAGCTACAATAGCTCCAGCTACAGTAGTTCCTGCATAAGAAGATCCAGCACTAGCAGTTACTCTCCATGCAGTTCAAGTTTAAGCTTCTGCAGCTCCAGCTCAAGCTTCAGTAGTTCCAGTTTCAGCTGTTCCAGCTGCAACAGACACAGCTCAAGCAGTTACAGATTAAGCTCTTCATGTTCAAACTTCAGCAGCTACAAGTCAATGAGTTCAAGTTTAATTAGTTCAAGCTCATGCAGTTCCAGTATCAAGAGCTTAACCTCATTCAGTTCAAGCTTTTGGAATAGCACTTACAGTTCCAGTATTTCGAAGTCCATCAGTTCCAACTCAGTTATTTCCAGCTCAAGAAGTTCAAGCTTCAGCAGTTCAAGCTTCAGCAGTTTAAGCTTCAGTAGTTTAATCTCAAGCAGTGCTGGCATCTACACTTCAACCTACAGTAATTCAACCTTCAGTAGTTCAATCTCAAGCAGTGCCAGCAGCAACACTTCAAGCTTCAGTAGTTCAAGCTTCAGAAGTTTAATCTCAAGCAGTGCCAGCAGCTACACTTCAAGATTCAGCCGTTCAAGCTTCAGCCGTTCAAGCTTCAGTAGTTTCATCTCAAGCAGTGCCAGCAGCTACACTTCAAGCTTCAGCCGTTCAAGCTTCAGCAGTTCAAGCTTCAGTAGTTTAATCTCAAGCAGTGCCAGAAGCTACACTTCAAGCTTCAGCAGTCTAAGCTTCAGCCGTTCAACCTTTAATAGTTTAATCTCAAGCAGTGCCAGCAGCTACACTTCAAGCTTCAGCAGTTCAAGCTTCAGTAGTTTAATCTCAAGCAGTACCAGCAGCTACACTTCAAGCTTCAGCAGTCCAAGCTTCAGCCGTTCAAGCTTCAATAGTTCAATCTCAAGCAGTGCCAGCAGCTACACTTCAAGCTTCAGACGTTCAAGCTTCAGAAGTTCAAGCTTCAGTAGTTTAATCTCAAGCAGTGCCAGCATCTACACTTCAAGCTTCAGTTGTTCAAGCTTCAGTAGTTTAATCTCAAGCAGTACCAGCAGCTACACTTCAAGCTTCAGCCGTTCAAGCTTCATCAGTTCAAGCTTCAGTAGTTTAATCTCAAGCAGTGCCAGCAGCTACACTTCAAGCTTCAGCAGTCAAAGCTTCAGCCGTTCAAGCTTCAATAGTTCAATCTCAAGCAGTGCCAGCAGCTGCACTTCAAGCTTCAGTCGTTCAAGATTCAGCAGTTCAAGCTTCAGAAGTTTAATCTCAAGCAGTCCCAGCAGCAACACTTTGAGCTTCAGCAGTTCAAGCTTCAGAAGTTTAAAATCAAGCAGTGCCAGCAGCTACACTTCAAGCTTCAGCAGTTCAAGCTTCAGCCGTTCAAGCTTCAGTAGTTTAATCACAAGCAGTGCCAGCACATACACTTCAAGCTTCAGCCGTTCAACCTTCAGCAGTTCAAGCTTCTGTAGTTTAATCTCAAGCAGTGCCAGCAGCTGCACTTCAAGCTTAAGCCGTTCAAGCTTCAGTAGTTCAAGGTTCAGTACTTTAATCTCAAGCAGTGCCAGCAGCTACACTTCAAGCTTCAGCAGTCTAAGCTTCAGCCGTTCAAGCTTCAATAGTGCAATCTCAAGCAGTGCCAGCAGCTGCACTTCAAGCCTCAGCCGTTCAAGCTTCAGCAGTTCAAGCCTCAGAAGTTTAATCTCAAGCAGTCCCAGCAGCTACACTTCATGCATCAGCAGTCCAAGCTTCGGCAGTTCGAGCTTCAGTAGTTTAATCTCATGCAGTGCCAGCAGCTACACTTCAAGCTTCAGCTGTTCAAGCTTCAGCAGTTCAAGCTTTAGTAATTTAATCTCAAGCAGTGCCAGCATCTACACTTCAAGCTTCAGCCGTTCAAGCTTCGGCAGTTCGAGCTTCAGTAGTTTAATCTCATGCAGTGCCAGCAGCTACACTTCAAGCTTCAGCCGTTCAAGCTTCAGTAGTTTGATCTCAAGCAGTGCCAGCAGCTACACTTCAAGCTTCAGCAGTCAAAGTTTCAGCTGTTCAAGCTTCAATAGTTCGATCTCAAGCAGTGCCAGCAGCTACACTTCAAGCTTCAACCGTTCAAGCTTCAGTAGTTTAATCTCAAGCAGTGCCAGCAGCTACACTTCAAGCTTCAGCCGTTCTAGCTTCAGCAGTTCAAGCTTAAGTAGTTTAATATCAAGCAGTGCCAGAAGCTACACTTCAAGCTTCAGCCGTTCAAGCTTTACTAGTTTAATCTTAAGCAGTGCCAGCATCTACACTTCAAGCTTCAGCCGTTCAAGCTTCAGCAGTTCAAGCTTCAGTAGTTTAATCTCGAGCAGTGCCAGCAGCAACACTTCAAGCTTCAGCAGTCTAAGCATTAGCCGTTCAAGCTTCAATAGTTCAATCTCAAGCAGTGCCAGCAGCTACACTTCAAGCTTCAGTCGTTCAAGCTTCAGCAGTTCAAGCTTCAGAAGTTTAATCTCAAGCAGTCCCAGTAGCTACACTTCGAGCTTCAGCAGTTCAAGCTTTAGTAGTTTAATCTCTAGCAGTGCCAGCATCTACACTTCAAGCTTCAGCCGTTCAAGCTTCAACAGTTCAACTTTCAGTAGTTTAATCTCAAGCAGTCCCAGTAGTTACACTTCAAACTTCAGCAGCTCAAACTTCAGTAGTTTAATCTCAAGCACTACCAGCAGCTACACTTCAAGCTTCAGCCGTTCAAGCTTCAGCAGTTCAAGCTTCAGTAGTTTAATCTCAAGCAGTGCCAGCATCTACACTTCAAGCTTCAGCCGTTCAAGCTTCGGCAGTTCGAGCTTCAGTAGTTTAATCTCATGCAGTGCCAGCAGCAACACTTCAAGCTTCAGCCGTTCAAGCTTCAGTAGTTTGATCTCAAGCAGTGCCAGCAGCTACACTTCAAGCTTCAGCAGTCAAAGTTTCAGCTGTTCAAGCTTCAATAGTTCAATCTCAAGCAGTGCCAGCAGCTACACTTCAAGCTTCAGCCGTTCAAGCTTCAGTAGTTTAATCTCAACCAGTGCCAGCAGCTACACTTCAAGCTTCAGCCGTTCTAGCATCAGCAGTTCAAGCTTAAGTAGTTTAATATCAAGCAGTGCCAGCACCTACACTTCAAGCTTCAGCCGTTCAAGCTTCAGTAGATTAATCTCAAGCAGTGCCAGCAGCTACACTTCAAGCTTCAGCCGTTCTAGCATCAGCAGTTCAAGCTTAAGTAGTTTAATCTTAAGTAGTGCCAACATCTACACTTCTAGCTTCAGCCGTTCAAGATTCAGCAGTTCAAGATTCAGTAGTTTAATCTCAAGCAGTGCCAGCAGCAACACTTCAAACTTCAGCAGTCTAAGCATCAGCCGTTCAAGCTTCAATAGTTCAATCTCAAGCCGTGCCAGCAGCTGCACTTCAAGCTTCAGCCGTTCAAGCTTCAGCAGTTCAAGCTTCAGAAGTTTAATCTCAAGCAGTCCCAGTAGCTACACTTCGAGCTTTAGCAGACCAAGCTTCAGTAGTTTAATCTCAAGCAGTGCCAGCATCTACACTTCAAGCTTCAGCCGTTCAAGCTTCAGCAGGTCAACCTTCAGTAGTTTAATCTCAAGCAGTGCCAGCAGCTACACTTCAAACTTCAGCAGTTCAAGCTTCAGTAGTTTAATCTCAAGCAGTACCAGCAGCTACACTTCAAGCTTCAGCCGTTCAATCTTCAGTAGTTTATTCTCATGCAGTGCCAGTAGCTACACTTCATTCTTCAGCCGTTCAAGCTTCAGTAGTTCAATCTCAAGCAGTACCAGCAGGTTCACTTCAAGCTTCAGCAGTTCAAGCTTCAGTAGTTTAATCTCAAGCAGTACCAGCAGCTACACTTCAAGCTTCAGCAGTTCAAGCTTCAGAAGTTTAATCTCAAGCACTGCCAGCATCTACACTTCAAGCTTCAGCCGTTCAAGCTTCAGCAGTTCAAGCTTCTGTAGTTTAATCTCATGCAGTGCCAGCAGCTACACTTCAAGCTTCAGCCGTTCAAGCTTCAGTAGTTCAATCTCAAGCAGTGCCAGCAGCTACACTTCAAGCTTCAGCCGTTCAAGCTTCAGCAGTTCAAGCTTCAGAAGTTTAATCTCAAGCAGTCCCAGCAACTACACTTCGAGCTTCAGCAGTCCAAGCTTCAGTATTTTAATCTCAAGCAGTACCACCAGCTACATTTCAAGCTTCAGCCGTTTAAGCTTCAGCAGTTCAAGCTTCAGAAGTTTAATCTCAAGCAGTCCCAGCAACTACACTTCGAGCTTCAGCAGTCCACGCTTCAGTAGTTTAATCTCAAGCAGTACCAACAGCTACATTTCAAGCTTCAGCCGTTTAAGCTTCAGCAGTTCAAGCTTCAGAAGTTTAATCTCAAGCAGTGCCAGCATCTACACTTCAAGCTTCAACAGTTCAAGCTTCAGTAGTTTAATCTCATGCAGTGCCAGCAGCTACACTTCAAGCTTCAGCCGTTCAAGCTTCAGTAGTTCAATCTCAAGCAGTGCCAGCAGCTACACTTCAAGCTTCAGCCGTCTAAGCATCAGCCGTTCAAGCTTCAATAGTTCGATCTCAAGCAGTGCCAGCAGCTACACTTTAAGCTTCAGTAGTTTAATCTCAAGCAGTGCCAGCATCTACACTTCAAGCTTCAGCCGTTCAAGCTTCAGTAGTTCAATCTCAAGCAGTGCCAGCAGCTACACTTCAAGACTCAGCAGTCTAAACATCAGCCGTTCAAGCTTCAATAGTTCAATCTCAAGCAGGGCCAGCAGCTGCACTTCAAGCTTCAGCCGTTCAAGCTTCAGCAGTTCAAGCTTCAAAAGTTTAATCTCAAGCAGTCCCAGCAACTATACTTCGAGCTTCAGCAGTCCAAGCTTCAGTAGTTTAATCTCAAGCAGTGCCAGCTGCTACACTTCAAGCTTCAGCAGTTCAAGCTTCAGTAGTTTAATCTCAAGCAGTGCCAGCAGCCACAACTCAAGCTTCAGCAGTTCAAGCTTTATTAGTTTAATCTCAAGCAGTGCCAGCATCTACTTTTCAAGCTTCAGCCGTTCAAGCTTCAGCAGTTCAACCTTCAGTAGTTTAATCTCAAGCAGTGCCAGCAGCTACACTTCAAACTTCAGCAGTTCAAGCTTCAGTAGTTTAATCTCAAGCAGTACCAACAGCTACATTTCAAGCTTCAGCCGTTTAAGCTTCAGCAGTTCAAGCTTCAGTAGTTTAATCTCAAGCAGTGCCAGCATCTACACTTCAAGCTTCAGCCGTTCATGCTTCAGCAGTTCTAGCTTCAGTAGTTTTATCTCATGCAGTGCCAGCAGCTACACTTCAAGCTTCAGCCGTTCAAACTTCAGTAGTTTAATCTCAAGCAGTGCCAGCAGCTACACTTCAAGCTTCAGCAGTCCAAGCTTCAGTAGTTTAATCTCAGGCAGTACCAGCACGTTTACTTCAAGCTTCAGCAGTTCAAGCTTCAGTAGTTTAATCTCAAGCAGTACCAGCACCTACACTTCAAGCTTCAACAGTCAAAGCATCAGCCGTTCAAGCATCAATAGTTCAATCTCAAGCAGTGCCAGCAGCTACACTTCAAGCTTCAGCCGTTCAAGCTTTAGTAGTTTAATCTCAAGCAGTGCCAGCATCTACACTTCAAGCTTCAGTAGTTTGATCTCATGCAGTTCCAGCAGCTACACTTCAAGCTTCAGCCGTTCAAGCTTCAGCAGTTCAAGCTTCAGTAGTTTGATCTCATGCAGTGCCAGCAGCTACACTTCAAGCTCCAGCCGTTCAAGGTTCAGCAGTTCAAGCTTCAGCAGTTCAAGCTTCAGAAGTTTAATCTCAAGCAGTCCCAGTAGCTACACTTCGAGCTTCAGCAGTCCAAGCTTCAGTAGTTTAATATCAAGCAGTGCCAGCAGCTACACTTCAAGCTTCAGTAGTTTAATCTCAAGCAGTACCAGCAGCTACACTTCAAGCTTCAGCCGTTCAAGCTTCAGCAGTTCAAGCTTCAGTAGTTTAATCTCAAGCAGTACCAGCAGCTACACTTCAAGCTTCAGCAGTCCAAGCTTCAGCCGATCAAGCTTCAATAGTTCAATCTCAAGCAGTGCCATCAGCTACACTTCAAGCTTCAGCCGATCAAGCTTCCGCAGTTCAAGCTTCAGTAGTTTAATCTCAAGCAGTACCAGCATCTACACTTCAAGCTTCACCCGTTCAAGCTTTAGCAGTTCATGCTTCAGTAGTTTAATCTCGTGCAGTGCCAGCAGCTACACTTCAAGCTTCAACAGTCCAAGCTTAAGCCGTTCAAACTTCAATAGTTCAATCTCAAGCAGTGCCAGCAGCTACACTTCAAGCTTCAGCCGTTCAAGCTTCAGTAGTTTAATCTCAAGCAGTGCCAGCATCTACACTTCAAGCTTCAGCCGTTCAAACTTCAGCAGTTCAATCTTCAGTAGTTTAATCTCAAGCAGTGCCAGCAGCTACACTTCAAGCTTCAGCAGTCAAAGCTTCAGCCGTTCAAACTTCAATAGTTCAATTTTAAGCAGTGCTAGCAGCTGCACTTCAAGCTTAAGCAGTGCTAGCAGCTGCACTTCAAGCTTCAGCGGTTCAAGCTTCAGCAGTTCAAGCTTCAGAAGTTTAATCTCAAGCAGTCCCAGCAGCTACACATCGAGCTTTAGCAGTCCAAGCTTCAGTAGTTTAACCTCAAGCAGTGCCAGCAGCTACACTTCAAGCTTCAGTAGTTTAATCTCAAGCAGTACCAGCAGCTACACTTCAAACTTCAGCCGTTCAAGCTTAAGCAGTTCAAGCTTCAGTAGTTTAATCTCAAGCAGTACCAGCAGCTACACTTCAAGCTTCAGCAGTTCAAGCTTCAGAAGTTTAATCTCAAGCAGTCCCAGCAGCTACACTTCGAGCTTCAGCAGTCTAAGCTTCAGTAGTTTAATCTCAAGCAGTGCCAGCAGCTACATTTCAAGCTTCAGCAGTTCAAGCTTCAGTAGTTTAATCTCAAGCAGTACCAGCAGCTACACTTCAAGCTTCAGCAGTCAAAGCTTCAGCAGTTCAAGCTTCAGTAGTTTAATCTCAAGCAGTGCCAGCAGCTACATTTCAAGCTTCAGCAGTTCAAGCTTCAGTAGTTTAATCTCAAGCAGTACCAGCAGCTACACTTCAAGCTTAAGCCATTCAAGCTTTAATAGTTCAATCTCAAGCAGTACCAGCAGCTACACTTCAAGCTTCAGCTGTTCAAGCTTCAGCAGTTCAAGCTTCAGAAGTTTAATCTCAAGCAGCCCGAGCAGCTACACTTCAAGCTTCAGCAGTTCAAGCTTCAGTAGTTTAATCTCAAGCAGTACCAGCAGCTACAATTCAAGCTTCAGCCGTTCAAGCTTCAGCAGTTCAAGCTTCAGTAGTTTAATCTCAAGCAGTGCTAGCAGCTACACTTCAAGCTTCAGCTGTTCAAGCTTCAGCAGTTCAAGCTTCAGAAGTTTAATCTCAACCAATGGTAGCATCAACATTTTAAGCTCCAGTAGTTCAAGCTTCAGCCGTTCAAGCTTCAGCAGTGCCAACATCTACACTTCAAGCATCAGAAGTTCAAGCTTTAACAGTTCAAGTTTCAGTAGTTTAATCTCAACCAGTGCTAGCATCACTTCAAGCTTCAGTAGTTCAAGCTTCAGCCGTTCAAGCTTCAGCAGTGCCAGCATCTACACTTCATGGATCAGAAGTTCAAGCTACAGCAGTTCAAGCTACAGCAGTTCAAGCTACAGCAGTTCAAGCTTCGTAAGTTTAATCTCAAGCAGTGCCAGCAGCTACACTTCAAGCTTCAACAGTTCAAGCTTCAGTAGTTTTATCTCAAGCAGTTCTAGCATCAACACTTCAAGCTTCAGCAGTTCAAGCTTCAGCCGTTCAAGCATCAGAAGTTCAAACTTCAGCCGTTCAAGCTTCAGCAGTTCTAGGTTCAGTAGTTTAATCTCAAGCAGTGCCAGCAGCTACACGTCAAGCTTCAGCCGTTCAAGATTCAGCACTTCAAGCTTCAGTAGTTTAATCTCAAGCAATGCCAGCAGCTACACTTCAAACTTCAGCCGTTCAAGCTTCAGCAGTTCAAGCTTCAGTAGTTTAATCTCAAGCAGTGCCAGCAGCTACACTTCAAGCTTCAGTTGTTCAAGCTTCAGCAGTTCAAGCTTCAGTAGTTTAATATCAAGCAGTGCCAGCATCTGCACTTCAAGCTTCAGCAGTTCAAGCTTCAGTAGGTTAATCTCAAGCAGTGCCAGCATCTACACTTCAAGCTTCAGCAGTTCAAGCTTCAGTAGGTTAATCTCAAGCAGTGTCAGCATCTTCACTTCAAGCTTCAGAAGTTCAAGCTTCAGAAGTTCAAGCTTCAGCAGTTCAAGCTTCAGCAGTTCAAGCTTCAGCAGCTTAATCTCAAGCAGTGTCAGCATCTTCACTTCAAGCTTCAGCAGTTCAAGCTTCAGTAGGTTAATCTCAAGCAGTGCCAGCATCTACACTTCAAGCTTCAGAAGTTCAAGCTTCAGAAGTTCAAGCTTCTGCAGTTCAAGCTTCAGCAGTTCAAGCTTCAGCCGTTCAAGTTTCAGTAGTTTAATCTCTAGCAGTGCTAGCAGCTACACTTCAAGCTTCAGCAGTCCAAGCTTCAGTAGTTTAATCTCTAGCAGTGCGAGCAGCTACACTTCAAGCATCAGCAGTTCAAGCTTCAGCAGTTCAATCTTCAGCTGTTCAAGCTTCAGTAGTTTAATCTCTAGCAGTGCTAGTAGCTACACTTCAAGCTTGAGCAGTCCCACCTTCAGTAGTTTAATCTCTAGCAGTGCCAGCAGCTACACTTCAAGCTTCAGCAGTGCCAGCATCTACACTTCAAGCTTCAGCAGTTCAAGCTTCAGCCGTTCAAGCTTAAGCAGTGCCAGCATCTACACTTCAAGCATCAGAAGTTCAAGATTCAACAGTTCAAGCTTCAGCAGTTTAATCTCAAGCATCAAGACTTCAAGCTTCAGTAGTTCAAGCTTCAGTCGTTCAAGCATCAGAAGTTTAATCTCTAGCAGTGCTAGCATCTACACTTCAAGCTTCAGCAGTTCAAGCTTCAGTCGTTCAAGCTTTAGCAGTTTAATCTCAAGCAGTGCCAGCATCTACAGTTCAAGCTTCAGCCGTTTAATCTCAAGCAGTGCCATCATCTACACTTCAAGCTTCAGCAGTTCAAGCTTCCGCCGTTCAAGCTTGAGCAGTTCCATATCAATCAGTTCAAGCTCAATCATTTCAAGTTGCTGGAGTTACTCCATTAGCTCAAGCAGCTACGTTTCCACTAGTTTCATCACGAGCGCCTCCAGTTTTAGTACTTCAAGCTCAAGCAGTTCAAGATTTGGTTGTTCAAGCTTCAACAGTTCAAGCATTATTGGTTCGAGCCTAAGTTGTAGTAGGTACAACAGTTCCAGGATAAGCAGTATGAGTTCCAGCAGTTCAAGATTTATTACCTTCTGCTCAAGTATTTCAAGACTCTGTGGAACAAGTTACAGCAGTTCAAGCTACAGTTCAAGCCTAAGCAGTTCGAGGTATAGCAGTATTAGCTCCAGCAGTTTCAGCTTATTCTGCTCAAGTTCCAGCATCTCAATCTCTAGTAGTTCCTCCTCAAGAAGATCACCCTTCAGCAGTCCCAGCTTCAACAGTCCCAGCTCAAGCAGTTACAGCTCAAGCTGTTTATATTCAAGCAATTCCATGGCAAAGTGTTCAAGTTTGATTAGTTCCAGTTCAAGCAGTTCCAGCTCAGGAAGTTCAAGCTTCAGTATCTCAAGTTCAAGCAGTTTTAGTTTTAGCAAGTCAAGCTCAAGCCGTTTAAGCATCAACAGCTCAGGTTCTATCAGTTCAACCCTTTCCACAAGTTCCAGTTTTAGTAGTTCCTTCTCAAGCAGTTCTAAATACAGGTGTTCAAGCTTCAGCACTTCTACATCAAGCGGATTAAGCAGTTCAAGCTTCAAATGGTTAAGCTGCAGCAGCAGATCAACTTTAAGTAGCCCAAGCTCTTATAGTCGTGTCTCCAGTGGTTCAAGCTTCAGTAACTCCAGTTATAGCATATCCAGAATGTGTAGTGCCTTGTCAAGCAGTTCAGGCTCAATTAGTTTAAGCTCCAGCTTCTCAAGCAGCAGTATTTCAAGCTTCAGCAGTTCAAGCTTCTACAGTTACAGCTCAGTAAATTCAAGCTCAATCATTTCAAGCTCTTCTAGTTACTCATACAGCTTGAGCAGCTCCAGTTTCAAGAGTTCCAGCAGAAGTACTTCCAGATCAAGCATGTACTTAAGCAGCTCTAGCTTCAGTAGTTCAGTTTCAAGTAGTTTAAGCTTCAGCAGATCATACCCAAGCAGTTCGACCTTTACAAGCTTTACATTAAGCTGTTCTAGCTTAAGTAGTTCCATTTCTAATTGTTTCAGCTTTAGAAGCACTAGCTCAAGGAATACAATTTACTGCAGCTTACGCTCCACTTCATTTAGCAGTAGCTCAAGCATTTGTACTTCAAGCTCGAGCAATTCAATCGCAAGCATTTCAAGTTTTATTAGTTCCAGCTTAAGCAGTTCAGGCTTCAGCAGATCCAGCTTAAGCAGATCCAGCTTAAGCAGTTCAGGCTTCAGCAGATCCAGCTTCAGCAGATCCAGCTTAAGCAGTTCAAGCTCATACAATTTCAGCTCAAGCAGTACAAGCTTCAGCGGCAGTTCACCCTCTAGAGTTTCCTGCTATAGTATTTCAAGCTCAAACTTCAATAGTTGCAGCTTAAATATTCGTAAGTATTAAAACAAACTTGTATAACTTCTCTAAATCAATGTATCTAGTATGATATTTTTTGTGTTTATTTGCATAATTAAAAAAAATGCCAATAAATTATATCAAAATTAAAAGTTCCTCCAATCACAGTTCATACCTGAGATACACACCGAGATGTGTACTCGTTGTCCAGGTGTATATAACGAGAGTATACTATAGCCCTGGAATTATGTCCAGGACTGAGAGTATACTATAGCCCTGGAATTATGTCCAGGACTGAGAGTATACTATAGCCCTGGAATTATGTCCAGGACTGAGAGTATACTATAGCCCTGGAATTATGTCCAGGACTGAGAGTATACTATAGCCCTGGAATTATGTCCAGGACTGAGAGTATGCTTTAGCCCTGGAATTATGTCCAGGACTGAGAGTATGCTTTAGCCCTGGAATTATGTCCAGGACTGAGAGTATACTATAGCACTGGAATTATGTCCAGGACTGAGAGTATACTATAGCCCTGGAATTATGTCCAGGACTGAGAGTATGCTTTAGCCCTGGAATTATGTCCAGGACTGAGAGTATGCTTTAGCCCTGGAATTATGTCCAGGACTGAGAGTAGACTTTAGCCCTGGAATTATGTCCAGGACTGAGAGTATACTATAGCCCTGGAATTATGACCAGGACTGAGAGTATACTATAGCCCTGGAATTATGTCCAGGACTGAGAGTATACTATAGCCCTGGAATTATGACCAGGACTGAGAGTATACTATAGCCCTGGAATTATGACCAGGCCTTAGAGTATACTATACCCCTGGAATTATGTCCAGGACTGAGAGTATACTATAGCCCTGGAATTATGTCCAGGACTGAGAGTATACTATAGCCCTGGAATTATGTCCAGGACTGAGAGTAGACTTTAGCCCTGGAATTATGTCCAGGACTGAGAGTATACTATAGCCCTGGAATTATGACCAGGACTGAGAGTATACTATAGCCCTGGAATTATGACCAGGACTGAGAGTATACTATAGCCCTGGAATTATGTCCAGGACTGAGAGTATACTATAGCCCTGGAATTATGTCCAGGACTGAGAGTATACTATACCCCTGGAATTATGTCCAGGACTAAAATATAGTTGTTGGTTAAACAGTATAATATTGTGCTGGTATTAATAACCCTCCACAGGTAGGTTGGTAGGCCTTAAGTCCACCACCATCAAGCTGCATCTATGGTCGGTCCGTGAGCTATTACACTGAACATAATCTTACTGAAGTGAACAGATGAGTTATAAATACTCATTCATCCCTAAGTAAAACAGGAACACGAAATGAGTATCACGTAGAGGGCCAGCCAAAGGCCCACTTTGGCTGGGCCTTTGATACCGATCTGGAATATCTCTACAAACAAAAAAAATGGCTGTGGTGATCTTACTTAACCCTCCAAAAGTTGACAGGCTTTAACCCCAACATTAAACCAGTTATGTATTCTACATACCAAAGGAATACCTATGAAAGTATTATCAAATGTAAATTTGTAATAATCATTCTGCAAATTCATGATTATAATAATTTCTGTTACTTTGCTTTATGTTAGTGACAGAAATGGCGCCTCAAGATGTTGACATTTAGAAGGACAAAATTCATTTGATATTTTAAATATTCATGTCCAAAACATTCTTTGTTGATACTAATATATTCACATGCACATAACATTCACAGCTGTTGTATAAATATTGATCTTATGCATTTTTCAGGTTCTAGCAGTTCCAGCTCCAGCTCAAGCAGTCTCAGTAACGTAAATATCAGCTCAAGCGGAAGCAGCATTTCAAGCTTACATAGTACTAGCTCAACCAGTTCCAGATCTCATAGTTTCTGGTCAAGCAGTTCATGGTCCTGCAGCTACGAATCTAGTTTTAGCAGTTACAGTGCTACCAATTGTAAGTGGTCCATATGTATGTCACAATTTGATAGAGCTTTCAAAAGTGAAGTAATGAAAATACGAACATTTCAACCTTATGGAATACATATTAACTACTTGAATTATCATCACGTACATCTTAGCTAACTTAACTAACATCAAGTAACATCTTAATTAATTTGAATTAACATCAAGTATTGATAATCGAAATTTATATTACTTATGTTTTTTTTTTGGCTTTGTACAGCAATCAACACTCTCACGAATACTACTACTGCTTCCACTACCATATATACAACAACCACTACCACCAGTCCAACAACAGAAGCAACTACGACGAGTCCAACAACAGAAGCAACTACCACGAGTCCAACAACAGAAGCAACTACCATGAGTTCAACAACTACCACGAGTCCAACAACAGAAACAACAACCACGAATCCAACAACTACCACGAGTCCAACCACTACCACAAGTCCAACAACTACCACGAGTCCAACCACTACCACGAGTCCAACAACTACCACGAGTCCAACAACTACCACGATTCTAACAACAGAAACAACTACCACGATTCTAACAACAGAAACAACTACCACGAGTTCAGCAACTACCACGAGTCCAACAACTACCACGAGTTCAACAACTACCACGAGTCCAACAACTACCACGAGTCCAACAACTACCACGAGTCCAACAACTACCACGAGTCCAACAACTACCACGAGTCCAACAACTACCACGAGTCCAACCACTACCACAAGTCCAACAACTACCACGAGTCCAACAACTACCACGAGTCCAACAACAGAAACAACTACCACGAGTCCAACAACTACCACGAGTCCAACAACTACCACGAGTTCAACAACTACCACGAGTTCAACAACTACCACGAGTCTAACAACTACCACGAGTCCAACAACTACCACGAGTCCAACAACTACCACGAGTCCAACAACTACCACGAGTCCAACAACTACCACGAGTCCAACAACTACCACGAGTCCAACAACTACCACGAGTCCAACAACAGAAGCAACTACCACGAGTTCAACAACTACCACGAGTTCAACAACAGAAACAACTACCACGAGTCCAACAGAAACAACTACCACGAGTCCAACAACTACCACGAGTCCAACAACAGAAACAATCACCACGAGTCCAACAACTACCACGAGTCCAACCACTACCACGAGTCCAACCACTACCACGAGTCCAACCACTACCACGAGTCCAACAACTACCACGAGTCCAACCACTACCACTACCACGAGTCCAACCACTACCACGAGTCCAACCACTACCACGAGTCCAACCACTACCACGAGTCCAACCACTACCACGAGTCCAACAACTACCACGAGTCCAACAACTACCACAAGTCCAACAACTACCACGAGTCCAACAACAGAAACAACCACCACGAGTCCAACAACTACCACGAGTCCAACCACTACCACGAGTCCAACCACTACCACGAGTCCAACCACTACCACGAGTCCGACCACTACCACGAGTCCAACCACTACCACGAGTCCAACCACTACCACGAGTCCATCAATTACCACGAGTCCAACAACTACCACGAGTCCAACAACTACCACGAGTCCAACAACTACCACGAGTCCAATAACTACTACGAGTCCAACAACTACCACGAGTCCAATAACTACTACGAGTCCAACAACTACCACGAGTCCAACAACTACCACGAGTCCATCAACTACCACGAGTCCAACAACTACCACGAGTCCAACAACTACCACGAGTCCAACAACTATCACAAGTCCAACAACTATCACAAGTCCAACAACTATCACAAGTCCAACAACTATCACAAGTCCAACAACTATCACAAGTCCAACAACTACCACAAGTCCAACAACTACCACAAGTCCAACAACCACCACGAGTCCAACAACCACCACGAGTCCAACAACCACCACGAGTCCAACAACTACCACGAGTCCAACAACTACCACGAGTCCAACAACTACCACGAGTCCAACAACTACCACGAGTCTAACAACCACCACGAGTCTAACAACCACCACGAGTCCAACAACCACCACGAGTCCAACAACCACCACGAGTCCAACAACCACCACGAGTCCAACAACCACCACGAGTCCAACAACTACCACGAGTCCAGCAACTACCACGAGTCCAAAAACTACCACGAGTCCAAAAACTACCACAAGTCCAACAACTACCACAAGTCCATCAACTAACACAACTGGTGAGTGTATGAATTGTGTATTAGCCCAAAGCAAGTAGGGAGGGGGAGGGCAATCGTATTTACATATATATATATATATATATATATATATATATATATATATATATATATATATATATATATATGTCGTATAGTAGCCAGAACGCACTTCTCAGCCTACTATGTTAGGTAGGGTTGGTTAGGTTCGGTCATATATCTGCGTTAATTTTAATTCCAATAACAAAAAATTGACATCATACATAATGAAATAGGTAGCTTTATCATTTCATAAGAAAAAAATTAGAGAAAATATAATAATTCAGGAAAACTTGGCTTATTAGGCAAATCGGGCCTTGCATAGTAGGCTCAGAAGTGCGTTCTGGCTACTAGGTACGACATATATATATATATATATATATATGTCGTACCTAGTAGCCAGAACTCACTTCTCAGCCTACTATGCAAGGCCCGATTTGCCTAATAAGCCAAGTTTTCATGAATTAATGTTTTTTCGTCTACCTAACCTACCTAACCTAACCTAACCTAGCTTTTTTTGGCTACCTAACCTAACCTTACATATAAATATAGGTTAGGTTAGGTTAGGTAGGGTTGGTTAGGTTCGGTCATATATTTACGTTAATTTTAACTCCAATAAAAAAAATTGACCTCATACATAGAGAAAAGTATATATATATATATATATATATATATATATATATATATATATATATATATATATATATATATATCTCATGTACATAAATGTGTGTGTGTGTGTGTGTGTGTGTGTGTGTGTGTGTGTGTGTGTGTGTGTGTGTGTGTGTGTGTGTGTGTGTGTATGTGTGTGTGTGTGTGTGTTCAATGATGCAAAAAAAAATTGCACTACAGGAATCCTAGATAAATGAAACAATCTAATTGTATTTTTACAATCATAACCACAGCTACAACCGGAACCTCGCAATATACGTCAAACACAGAAAGTACTACTATCAGCACACCGACCACTACAACAAGTCCAACCACGACGACTACTACAAGTCCAACCACGACTACAACAAGTCCAACCACGACTACTACAACAACAAGCTCAACCAAGACCACCGCAACACCCCCAACCACGACCACCACAACACCCCCAACCACGACCACCACAACACCCCCAACCACGACCACCACAACACCCCCAACCACGACCCCATAACACCCCCAACCACGACCACCACAACACCCCCAACCACGACCACCATAACACCCCCAACCACGACCACCACAACACCCCCAACCACGACCACCACAACACCCCCAACCACGACCACCAAAACACCTCCAACCACGACCCACGACACACCCACACGACCACCACCCCCCTAACCACGACCACAACACCTCCAACCACGACCACCACAACACTCCCAACCACGACCACGACAACACCCCCAACCACGACCACCACAACACCCCTACGACCACCACAACCACCCCACGACCACCACAACCACGACCACCACAACACTCCCAACCACGACCACCACGACCACCACCACACCACCACAAACCCCCAACCACGACCACCACAACACCCCACAACCACGACCACCACAACACCCCCAACCACGACCACCACAACACCTCCAACCACGACCACCACAACACCCCCAACCACGACCACCACACCACGACCACCACAACACCCCCAACCACGACCACCACAACACCCCTAACCACGACCACCACAACACCTCCAACCACGACCACCACAACACCCCCAACCACGACCACCACAACACCCCCAACCACGACCACCACAACACCCCCAACCACGACCACCACAACACCCCCAACCACGACCACCACAACATCCCCAACCACGACCACCACAACACCCCCAACCACGACCACCACAACACCCCCAACCACGACCACCACAACATCCCCAATTAACAGTAAGAATATATACTCAGTTCAAGGGGCATATCGGGTGGAGTGTGACTGGGAGGGAGATAGAGATAAGGAAAGGAATGGGAAATAGGGACGGGGGTAAGAGGAACAATATGGAAGGGAAGGGAGAAAATAAGGGAGAGATGAAGGTGAAAATAAGAAAGGGAAAGGAGGTATATGCTTTATCCATCAAGTGATAATGGAGATGGATAAATTTATCCATCAAGTGTATTATTGAAAATTCAGGGATTGTGTTGAAATTCGTCTATTGGTGTCCACGTTAACAAGGGTTCGGAACCCATCACTAAACCTTGCCTGAAGGGGTCAGGTAATAAATACCCTTCACGTGAGATCGGTTATCGAACCCATAACACAAAACGTGACCAATGTTGCCAACGTTGCTACACAGAGTGAGTCAAAACTTATTACAACATCAATTATCAGTCGCGGGCCTTACGATATATAAATTTGAATTTGTGTAAAAATTAAATAAACTTCGTTTTTAAACGGGTCCAGCAATGGCTAGAAGTTGTGATTGAAGGTTAAAATAATTCTGAATAATACTAATTTGATGTATTTAATTGTTGCATGTATTCCTGGCGGCAGTGTTGTTGCATTATGCAAGAACATGATTTTATACACACAATCGACTTCAGAATGGTCCAGGACAGACCGAAACGTCGTCGTCCCTTCACTTTCTAGTGTGTGGTCTGGTAAACATATTTCAGCGACGTTATTGTGACTCCTCGTCTGCATCAATTTTAGATTAATTCTAGATCTTGGGGGCCTCGTAGCCTGGTGGATAGCGCGCAGGACTCGTAATTCTGTGGCGCGGGTTCGATTCCCGCACGAGGCAGAAACAAATGGGCAAAGTTTCTTTCACCCTGAATGCCCCTGTTACCTAGCAGTAAATAGGTACCTGGGAGTTAGTCAGCTGTCCCGGGCTGCTTCCTGAGGGTGGAGGCCTGGTCGAGGACCAGGCCGCGGGGACACTAAAAGCCCCGAAATCATCTCAATATAACCTCAAGATAGATCAGTGACTTCAGTTCCAATAACTATTATCATTGAGTAGTGTCAATGATTAGTACCAATAACTATCTACATAGTATCAGTGACTAATATCTATGACTTTTGCTTATAATTTCATTTCCTTCAGTGTCATATATATAATTTACATAGTATAATAAATTTTAATGTTTAATAAATGTAACTTGAGCCGTCAAAGATCGAGGAAAGATGTACAAGTTCGTAAGTGCTTGCGTAACTGATTCGAGAATCTGGCCCCTGTAGGTCGTGACAAGAGTGACAGAGAATCGAAGTAAAGATGACAAGAACAGAAGTTACATTACTAATACAGAATCTGATATATAATATGTTCCAGTTAACTGCAATAATTTGTACTAATGACTTTTTTTTTTTCATTTCCATTTTTCCAGCGACCTCTATAAATATTTCCACGACCTCAACCACGACAAACAAAACAGTAAACACGACTACAAGCATAACGACACAAGCTACTGCCACTACCGGTAAGTGTAAACAATTAATCCATCATAGCTGGAAGAGTATCGGCAAGGATGAGGAATTGTTTGGAATTTACAAAAATGCTTTTTCAAGTTTAATATAATATAATGCTATGTGAATCATCGATCAAATAAATTAACAAATAATTATGGCGAATGTACTGAAATGTTAAATACATTATCGATCAAATATATTCACCAATATATATGTTAAATATAATATGATGTTACACGTATCATTGATCGAATAAATTCACTATTATTTTAACTTCTTGCTTGTTTATATTCATTAACTTACTCTTTTACGAATGATAACCATAGCGCCAACCAGAACCTCTCTAAATACGACAGGCAACACGGCAACCACTAAGTCAAGCCCATTTTCGAACACTTCTACAAGCCTAATTGCGAACATTACGAAAAGCCCAACTAAGAAGAGAACGAAATTATCAACTAAAAACACGGCAACAAGCCCAACGAAGACCACTACCACGAGCCCAACGAAGACCACTACCACAAGTCCAACTAAGACAACTACCACAAGTCCAACTAAGACCACTATAACAAGCCCAATTAAAACTACCACCACAAGCCCAACAAAGACCACTACCACAAGCCCAAATATGACCACAAGTCCAACTAAGATCACAACCAAACGCCATACCAAGAAGATAACAAAGAGCTCAACTAAGACCACTACCACAAGTCCAACTAAGACCACTACTACAAGCCCAACAAAGTCCACTACCACAAGCCCAACAAATACCGCTACCACAAGCACAAATATGATCACAAGTCCAACTAAGATCACAACCAAACGCCATACCAAGAAGATAACAAAAAGCTCAACAAAGACCACTACCACAAGTCCAACTAAGACCACTTCCACAAGCCCAAATATGACCACTACCACAAGCCCAAATATGACCACAAGTCCAACTAAGATCACAACCAAACGCCATACCAAGAAGATAACAAAAAGTTCAACTAAGACCACTACCACAAGCCCAACAACAAGTATTTTCACAAGACCAACTGAGACCACGACCACAAGCCCAACAACAAGTATTTTCACAAGACCAACTGAGACCGTTTTCACAAGCCCAACTAAGAAGAGAACAAAACACTTAACTAAGAGCACTACAACACGCCTAAATAAGACCTCTACATCAAGCCCAATTAAGTCCACGACCACAAGCCCAATTAAGACTACCACGTCAAGTCCAACTAAAAATGTTAATGCCACTACTGGTAAGAGAATACAGTTTACTGACCGATGGCGGAGAAGCAGGTGTGAGGGTGGAAACTGATGTTTACTGAATGTTTGTGGGAAATTTAATGTCTCTACTGAAGGGAAGGAAAGGGAAGGAAGGAATCAAAGGGAAGGGAAGGGAAGGGAAGGGAAGGGAAGGGAAGGGAAGGGAAGGGAAGGAACTATCAGGAGGAAGCGCCCAGCCATTACGACTATATAACACTGGGAAGGGGGTCAGGATAAGGTTTTGGGATGGGACGGGGGAGAAAGGAATGGTGCCCCCCCCAACCACTTGGACGGTCGGGAATTGAACGCCGACCTGCATGAAGCGAGACCGTCGCTCTACCGTCCAGCCCAAGTGATTGGGCACCATTCCTAACGCCCGTGACCGCCCAGTTCCTTATTCTGATCCCCTTTCCAAGTGCTATATAGTCATAAAGACTTGGTACTTTCTCCTCATAGTTCCCTTCCCTTTTCACAAATATGTGTGGAAATTCAGGTTTTGTGTTGCACTCCGGTACCGATTTTTTTTTTTTATTACAAGGTTGGTATTTTAGGGAGTCTGGTAACGCCAGTATTTTCTTTTTCTTTTCCCTATGGTATTCTGGATGTTCATGTTTCTATGTGTGCTTATTTGCTATATGTTATTTGTACCTGTAGGATCAAATTGTTACCTTTTTGAACCTCGCATTTATAACCTTTGGACTCCTGACGATATTTTCTCATTCATATCTACGTCACACCGATCACACACACACACACACTCCCAGGAAGCAGTCCGTAGGAGCTGTGTAACTCCCAGGTACCTATTTACTGCTAGGTGACCAGGGAGGGAACAGGGCGAAAGAAATTATGCAAATTTGTTTCTGCCTCTGTCGGGGATCGAACCCGGGCCCTTTGGACTACGACCCCAGAACGCTGTCCACTCAGCCGCGAGGCCCTTATCCTATGTGTGTATGTGTGTATGTGTGTGTGTGCACGCACGCGCGTGTACACGCACGAATGTGTCCCACAAGTAACTCCAAATTTCAAATGTAAATGGTCAAATTAAATTAGTCTCATATTATATTCTTGTTACAGCGACAACAACAATTGCTCCCACAACTTCAACCACAACAAGAAATACAACCAACACCACTACAAGCTCAACAACACAAGCCACTCCCACTACCGGTAAGTGTGTGTAAACAATTAAGCCACCATAGTTAGAGGAGAGAGGGAGGGCAAGTCTGAGGAATTGTTTGCCATTGTCAAAGATTTACGTTAAATGTTATATGATGTTACACGCATCATTGACCAAACAAATTCATCATTATTTTTCACATTTTGTTTGTCTATATTAACTTATTCTTTTACGAATGATACCACAACCATAGCGCCAACCAGAACCTCTCTAAATACGACAGGCAACACGGCAACTACTAAGTCAAGCCCATTTTCGAACACTTCTACAAGCCAAATTGCGAACATTACGAAAAGCCCAACTAAGAAGAGAACGAAAAGCCCAACTAAGAAGAGAACAACAAGCTTAACTGAGAGTACAGCTTCAATCCCAATTACGAGTACCACTAAAAGTTCAACAAAAGTCTTGACTACGAGCCCGCTTAAGAGCAGTACTACAAGTCCAACTGCGAACACAACCTCAAGCCCATTTAAGAGCACTATCACAGGCCAAACTAAGAAGAGAACAAAACACTTACCTAAGAGCACTGTCAAAATCCACACTAAGAAGGTAACAAAACACTTACATAAGAGCACTAGCAAAAGTCCAACTAATAACACTACTACAAGCCCAACTACGAAGACTACTTCAAGTCCAATTAAGAGCACTGTCACAAGCCCAACTAAGAAGAGAACGAGACACTTACCTAAGAGCACTGTCAAAATCCACACTAAGAAGGTAACTAAACACTTCCATAAGAGCACTAGCAAAAGACCAACTAATAACACTTTTACAAGCTCAACTATGAGCACTGCCATAAGCCCAATTAAGAGCACTGCCATAAGCCCAATTAAGAGCACTGCCATAAGGCCAATTAAGAGCACTGTCACAAATCCAGCTAAGAAGAGAACAAAACATTTAACTAAGAATACTATCATAATCCATTCTAAGAAGGTAACTAAACACTTACATAAGAGTACCAGCAAAAGACCAACTAGAAACACTACCACAAGGCCAACTAAGAGGAGGACAAAACACTCAAGTAAGAGAATTACCATGTCTCCAGCTAAGAAGATAACAAAACACTTAACTAAGAGCACTAGCAAAAGAAGAACTAGAAACACTACTGCAAGCCTAACTACGAACACTGCTATAAGCCCAATTAAGAAGAGAACAAAACACTTAACTAAGAGCACTATCCTAATCCACACTAAGAAGGGAACGAAACACTTAACTAAGAGCACTATCCTAATCCACAGTAAGAAAAGAACAAAACACTCGACTATGAACACGACCACAAGTCCAATTAAGAGCACGACCACAAGTCCAATTAAGAGTACAACAACAAGTCCAACTGAAAAAACTAATGTCAATACTGGTAAGATAGTGAGTACAGTTTACTAATCGATGGCGGAGGTGAAGATTGGTGTAAACAGATGATTACGGAATATTTGTGGGAGTTTAGGGTTTGTGTTGCGCTCGGCTGCTGATTTTTGTTTTTAATAACAAGGGTTAGTATATTTGGGAAGTCTAGAAACACATCTGATTGTTTCTCTTTCTTGTATGTTGACCTGCATGTGTGTGTGTGTGTGTGTGTGTGTGTGTGTGTGTGTGTGTGTGTGTGTGTGTGTGAATGTATGTAGAGTTAATGAATGAAGACAAACACAAAGTTTCGAATATAATATGTTACACTGTGCCTGAACAAAATAAAGCAGTCTCTCATATTATATTCTTGTTACAGCGACAACAACAATTGCTCCCACAACTTCAACCACAACAAGAAATACAACAAACACCACTACAAGCTCAACAACACAAGCTACTCCCACTACCGGTAAGTGTGTGTAAACAATTAAGCCACCATAGTTAGAGGAGAAAGGGAGGGCAAGTCTGAGGAATTGTTTGCCATTGTCAAAGATTTACATTAGATATATTATGATGTTACACTCATCATTGGTCAAATAAATTCATCATTATTTTCCCTTTTTGCTTGTCTATATTCATTAACTTACTCTTTTACGAATGATTCCACAACCATAGCGCCAACCAGAACCTCTCTAAATACGACAGGCAACACGGCAACCACTAAGTCAAGCCCATTTTCGAACACTTCTACAAGCCTAATTGCGAACATTACGAAAAGTCCAACTAAGAAGAGAACGAAAAGCCCAACTAAGAAGAGAACAAAACACTTACATAAGAACACTATCAAAATACAAACTAAGAAGGTAACAAAACACTTACATAAGAGCACTATCAAAAGTCGACCTAAGAGCACTACTACAAACCCATTTAAGAGCACGACTACAAGCCCAACTAGAAACACTACTGCAAGCCCAACTACGAGCACTGCTATAAGCCCGATGAAGAAAAGAACAAAACACTTAACTAAGAGCACTATCCTAACCCACACTAAGAAGGGAACAAAACATTTCCATAAGAGCACTAGCAAAAGACCAACTAAGAGCACTACTATAAGCTCAACTACGGGCACTGCCATAAGCCCCATTAAGAGCACTATCAAAAACCTAACTAAAAGGAGAACGAAACACTTAACTAAGAGCACTATCAAAATGCAAACTAAGAAAGTAACAAGACACTTACATAAGAGCACTATCAAAATCCATACTAAAAAAGTAACAAAACACTTTCATAAGAGTACTAGCAAAAGACCAATTAAGAACACAGCCACACGCTCAACGACCATTTTCACAAGCCCAAAAAAGAAGAGAACAAATTACTCAACTATGAAAGTTACCAAAATCCCAACTAGGAATAGAACAATGCACTCAACTAAGAGTATTACCTCAAGTCCAGCTACGAACATGACTGCAAGTCCAACGAAGAAGAGAACAAAGCATTCAGCTAAGAGCACTACAACAAGACCAGTTAAGAAGAGAACAAAGCACTCAACTAAGAGCACTACAACAAGACCAGTTAAGAAGAGAACAAAGCACTCAACTAAGAGCACTATCAAAAGCCCAACTGAGACCATTTTCACACACCACGCTAAGAAGAGAACAAAACACTTTACTAAAAGCACTTCAACACGCCGCATTAAAACAACGACCACAAGTCCAGTTAACAGAACTACAAGTCCAACTGAAAAACCTAATGTCAATACTGGTAAGATAGTGAGTACAGTTTACTGACCGATGGCGGAGGTGAAGATTGGTGTAAACAGATGTTTACGGAATATTTGTGGGAGTTTAGGGTTTGTGTTGCGCTCAGCTGCTGATTTTTTTCATTACAAGGGTTTGTATTTTTGGGGGAGTCTGGAAACACCTGTTATTATTAGTTACTTTGTGAAAGGTTATCTGTATTTTCTTGTGTGCATACTCACCTATTTGTGCTTGCGGGGGTTGAGCTTTGGCTCTTTGGTCCCGCCTCTCAACTGTCAATCAACTGGTGTACAGATTCCTGAGCCTACTGGGCTCTATCATATCTACATTTAAAACTGTGTATGGAGTCTGCCTCCACCACATCGCTGCCTAATGCATTCCACCTGTTAACTACTCTGATACTGAAAAAGTTCTTTCTAACGTCTCTGTGGCTCATGTGGGTACTCAGTTTCCACCTGTGTCCCCTTGTTCGCGTACCACCAGTGTTGAATAGTTTATCCTTGTCTACCCTGTCAATTCCCCTGAGGATTTTGTAGGTAGTGATCATGTCTCCCCTCACTCTTCTGTCTTCCAATGTATATAAGGTATATATATATATATATATATATATATATATATATATATATATATATATATATATATATATATATATATATATATTTTTTCTTGTGCCAATGTGTGAGAATAGTTTGAGCTACCTCATCACTTTGTGTGTATTTTACCGCAATAAACTTATTTCAATTTCAATGTTTTTCCCCGTTATCTTGACAGGAAAGCCGGCGAGGTGTGGCGGGGTGGTCCTAACAGAGGCTAATCCCGTGAAGGTGGTCACCTCTCCCTTATATCCTGCTCTCTACCCTGCCAATTATCACTGCTCGTTCAACATCACGGTGAGACGTCCCGTTTCCGTTGCTGTGTGCCTCTGCTTTCATCCCTGCCTACATATACAATACATATATTTTTATATATATAAGTATATATAACAACCGCGCTTTTTTATCTCTCAGGCGTCAAAAGGCAGGCATGTAAGGCTCCTGTTCGATACCCTGAGGATAGAGTATACCATGGGCTGCATCAAGGATTATATACAGATAGTCCATATGGCTAAAACCTACGGCGTCAAGTGAGTATTCTGCTGGTTATTATGCCTGTAATCCAGATGAAACAAAACTAATTCATAATTTAAATAAATTAAATAACTTATAATTATATGATTGATACAAAAACATCCATATGAATGTCATGTATTATCAATAATATTGCAGAATGAATTCTCTTGATCGTACATTTTGTCCATCCAGTTGGACTGGTCGAACGAGGGTCCCTTTTTTTGGCCGCGCCAGCGTTCGATAACCGATGGACCTTCACTTCGATTGCATTTCCCTTCAGAGTGCTCTGTGATCAAACTGGCTTGGTGCTTTCTCCTGATAATTACATTACCTTGGATACACACAGAGATCACACTAACGTGATGCATCAAATGAACAAATCCACAAGGGCCGTGACGAGGATTCGAATCTGCGTCCGGGAGCATCCCAGACACTGCCTTAATCGACTGAGCTACGACAGGGTTAAAAGGGTTGAATCCGAAGTTCTACTGAACTTAAGTAGAACTTTACTGATCCAGTAAATTCTACTGAACTTACTGGAACTAGAAACCGAAGTTCTACTGAACTTACTGGAACTAGAAACCGAAGTTCTACTGAACTTAAGTAGATCAGTAGATCTACTGATCCAGTAAGTTCAGTAGAACTTCGGTTTCAACCCTTTTAACCCTGTCGTAGCTCAGTCGATTAAGGCAGTGTCTGGGATGCTCCCGGACGCAGATTCGAATCCTCGTCACGGCCCTTGTGGATTTGTTTACCTTGGATACATATTACCATATGACTCTTATATTATCTGACACCTTGACCATTTCCTACCCATTAGTTATTGTGCAACCTTTCCTTAAAAATTAATTACCAACCTTGACCACCCTTTACGCATTTATTATGATGCCTGTTGCATTGATTCGAATGAATCATTGGTTGTTATGAATCTTACAGCGTTGATTCATCCCAAAACTTTGAATATTAGGTACAGAGCTGCGTTGACCCGTCTCTTCCCTTACCCTTATAACCTCACGAGAACTGCAGCTCACCTCATAATTCTGAGATGATAATCTAGGCTTTATATCACAGATGCTCCTTTCTCAGTTACGTTATATAAACAGACAGGGCGTATCAGAGTGACATGCAAATACGTACAGCCAGACGTAATAGACTACAAGAACAATCATTTAAAATAGCGACAAAATTACAACACACCACACGGGAGACATCTCCCGTCCACGAGGCTCACCATAGCCCGTGCTTCTTGCCCCGCTCCTGTGCCAGGCAAGTTACGGGCTCACCATAGCCCGTGCTTCTTGCCCCGCTCCTGTGCCAGGTAAGTTACGGGCTCACCATAGCCCGTGCTACTTGGAACTTGTTCCGAGTAGCTTAATCTATAACAACAACAATACAACACACCAGCAGTTTCAGCTCACATACTCGTCTGCTCCCCTACTCGCAGGATGTGTGGCAACAAGCTACCCCCTACAAACTGGAAGTTCGAATCGGAGAAGAACTATCTCACCGTGACCTTCCACTCGGACAGTTACAAGCAACTGAGGGGCTTCAAGTTCTTCGCCATGAGTAAGAGCAGTGTTCTCTCCTGCTGGTGTAGGAGAACGGATGGGTGGGAGGTGGGGTTCGGGAGGCAACATAATTTAGCAGCGATGGTCTCGCTTCATGCAGGTCGGCGTTCAATCCCCGACCGTCCAAGTGGTTGGGCACCATTCCTTTCTCCCTCGTCCCATCCCAAATCCTTATCCTTATCCTTATCCAAATCCTTTCAAAACTTGAGGCGGGAAATGATGGGTATGTGCGTGTAGAAGGAGCCGCAGTAGTAGTAGTAGTAGTAGAGTTAGCTGTAGTTAAGCAGTTAAAATCAAATTATTTGTTATAGTGGTAGTGAAAGGGGTTGTTTTATTATCAGTAGTAGTAGTAGTTCTTGTAGTAATGTTAACAATAGGATAAACAATGAGAAGTATTCATGGTAGTCGCAGCAATACCAGGTATTGTAGAATTGTGTTTTTGCTGTATATAAAAAAATGTGTGTTTATATGTTTTGTACATATTAGCCGAGGAAATATAAATTAGGATTAATACGAGTGAGGAGTGAAGGTAAGTGTACACACACAACTGCAGTAGAAATAATAAGTGAATTATCTGATATATTTAGTGTGCATTTCATTGTTTGTGTACAGTTCAACCCACACAGTTGAACCTCACTGCTCAACCATACAGTCAACACCTTACAGTTTAGCCGCAGAATCCAATCCCACAGTCCTTGACCGGCTTAATATTTATATTGTTTTTTGTTTTGCTTTTACAGTCTTTTAGAAGATAAGCTGTCAAGGAAACCGTCCATCGACACCACACATCTACTCTTTGAGAGGAGCAGATAAGAAGACACGAGTACATCTTCCACTTCCCATTGTTATCAATATTCAGTGCTTGTGCTGTCGACCCGGTTGATCAGATTTCCACGATTAAATTCATATATTTATTTTGCCTTTTTTGTGTGCAATATTCTGGATTCTGGGTTGGCAGCTCAGTACTTGACAAAATGGAACTCAAAACATTTCATGTATTACGTAAATGCTTTCAGAGTCATATGTGGCGATCTTGAAT